CCACTAAGTTGCGCCGCTCCCCCTCCCCCTTTTCGTCGCCAAGTTGGATTCTTCCTCCTAGCTCCAGCAGCTCCTGTGGGTTGTACCACTTTGCGAAAAGGGGGGTGAGCGTCTGCCTCCTCCCCTCGCCCCTTTGAGCTGTTCCACTTGGCTTTCACGGGAGGAAGAAGTGCGCGGAGGGAGACAACGCGCCGCACGTACAGCGCGGGGATTCCTCCTCCCCGTAACACCCCCCGTAAAATACAGGGGATCATCCTGTGGGAGGCAGGGAAGTAGCGTGGAGGTGTCGCATCCCCCTTTTCTCAGAGTGGTACAACCCACGGGCGCTAGCAGAGGCACTAGGACGACTCCAACTTGGCAAAGAAAAGGGGGGGCAGCGCATCCTAATAGTTACAGAGGAGTGATTCGCGCATCCCGCTTCCATCCCTCCGTGATGTTCCACATGTCTCTTTTGTTGTGAGGGGGACAGGCCCCGCTCTATGCGTATGACACGTTGTCTCCCCACAGCGCACCCCCTTTGCCACCCCCCCGTGCGCCACGTGTGGTACGCGCCTCCCCCATAAGCCTCCGCGCGGCGCACGCCGCCCCTCTCTATCCCGGCGGCGGCCAAAGGGAGCGGAGGGGCCCTGAAGGGGTCAAAGCTGCTGGTGAGTCCTGGTTTCCAGCCCCTAGGAAGCCTTATATCCCCAGTTAGGGTCCTTTATCCCTCTCCCTGAGCCTCGGTAGGGGGAGTTTCGGGGGTCTCCAGAGCGTCCTTTATCCCTCTAGGGCGGGAGGTGGGGGGGCGCCTCATGATATATGGGGGGAAGGGGCTTAGGGGGCCCATCAGGGTGTGTAAGGTTCCTTTATCAGCTTAGAATCCCCAAGAAGGAGGTTGTAGTCACCCCTTTTGTTCTCTTTAGGGCACTTTTCCTGCAGAAAGAGGGATTTGGGGGTCTCCTCATAGGGGATGGGGCTCCGTCCCTCACAGTGGTGGGAAGAGGGGAATTTTGGGGGTCCTTCCTTGGATGTGGGGGGTCTCTTTCCCTGTTAAAGCCTCAGAAAAGGGAGTTTGGGGGGATTCTCCCATTGTCTTTAGGGTCCATTCCATTCCCCCAGAGTCCTGAGGGAGAGGATTTGTGGTGCTCTTGACTTTTGGGATAACTTTTCCATGCCTAGCATCCTATGGAATACTGGAGTGATCCCCCTTTCCCCATGTTCGGTCCCTTTTCCCTTAGAAGGTCTGAAAAAAGGGGGTCATGGGAGTCCCTGAGAGTCCTGAAGGAAAGGATTTGGGGATGCCCTTGTTTCTTGGGATTACTTTCCCCACTTAAAATCCCAGGGAATCTTGTGGTGTCACTCCCCACTCCCAATGTTTTAGGTTCCTTTTCCCTTAAAAGTTCTGGGAAGGGTCATGTGGAAATCCCTTCCACATTCCCTGTGGGGTCTCTCCTCCCCTCACACCCCCAAAAAAGAGGATGTGGGAGATCCCCTCATTATCTGGGGAATCCCTTTCCCCTTGCCAGGCTCAGGGAAGGGGGGGATTTTAGGATTCTCCATGTCATTGTGGTCGTTTTCCTTTCCCAGGATTTAGGAACTCTCTGTTACAGGTAAGGGGTGGGTGGGGGTCTCCCTAAACCTTTGTGGTTTTCCACACAATGTGGGGACATATTCCTTGTTTTTTGGCAATATTCCTGATGCATTAAAGCCTCACCTCTTCAAGTCTGGATTGGGTGTGGTGGGGAAAGGGATCAATGTTATTCCTGCCCTGGTAAGGAAGAGAATTTAGGGATCCCACACTTCCCCAGCTGCTCCAGGTGCCTCACGGATCTGCTCCTCCCCCAATTCCTGGGATTTTTTTTTTGTCCAGTCACTTGCTGCAAAGGGAAACTGGAGCTGCTGCCGTGTCCTGGCACAGAGCAGCCAATCCATCCCATATCCCAACCCCCTTGGCTGCTTTTCCAAACTTATCCCGGAGCTGGGAAACCTGGAAAATCAACTCCAGGTGCACCTGGGCTCTGCTTATCTCACCTGTCCCTCTTTCCTTGTGCTGCTGTTCCCGGATTTCCGTCACCTTGGCGGGGTTTGTCCTCTCCCTGTTTTTTGGATCTCGATGCTCAGGAGGGAGGGATCCATTTCCAAACTATTTTGGGAACGGGCAGAGGCTGCTGCTGTTGTGCTCCATGGGGTTTTTGAAGGATTACATCCCTGACTAAACTTGCTGAGGCTGCCGCATCGGCGTTCCCAGAAATCCCCGATGGATTTGTTCTGTCGCATCCAGGTCAGCGACGATTCGGGATTGATTGGGATCCTGATAATCGCAATCCTTAGGGATGAGGAATTCCCTTTTCTGAGCTGTTTTGCTGGAATTCTTTCCTCTCCTTATCCAGGTTTGTCCCATTTCTCCCTGACCTTCAGGTAGGATTTTTCCTCACCCGAGCTGTTCATTCCCAACTCTTTATTTTTCCCTATTTTTCTTGAAGGTGACACTTTCCAAGTCTTTCCTTTCTGCTGATTTCCCATATCCATGATTGTCTCATTAGGAATTTTCAGCTTGGAGCGGAAATTTGTGGTTTTTAAGGTGATCAGGGATGGGAATTGTGGTGTTTTCCTGGAATGTGGAGCTTTGTCTCATAGCAAAGGTGATGATGAGATGATGATGATGATAAGGATCTGACTTAGGGAAGAGCCAATTTTAGGGAATGAAATCAGCAGGAATTTAGGAACAGCCAAATTCCAGCTGAATTGGAAAAACCAGCAGAAGATCTAGTTTTAAATGGATAAAATATTAGATACAAGTGTTAATATTTTGATTTATTTTGATTTCCCTGTTGTTGAACTCATCCTGAATTTCTGGGCTGTGACTTTTCCCAGTGGAGAGCATTCCCAACGCTACAGCATGGTTTTTAATCCCAAAACTTTGTGTTTGTGGAGGTAAAAATGGCAATTTTGAGTGGAAAATGTTGAAAGTTGATGGTTTGTATGATTAAAATTCCTTTTCCCAGGTTCTTCCAGGAATACTGATGGACACAGAAGAGAAGTTACTTTTTTTTTTCCCTAATTTTTCCTTGTTTAGAAGCTTTATTTCCTTGGAAATTTAGGGTTTTTCAGGACTGGACAAAAGGTTTGGCTGCTCATGGAAGCAAAAAGGTGCTGCAGGAATGTTTGGAATCACCCAAAAATTTGGGATCCTGAATTCCATCCATCAACACGTGCCAGGACTGGGATGGCAGGTTGGGAATTCTCAGGCTGCTGGGATGGGAAAATCCTTTTAGGTAACATCACAATAATGTTCCTTTCCTTGTTACTAAAATGAAAATAAACTCATTTTCTGTGGTGTTGGTTCACAAACTTCATGGAGTTCTGAAAAGTTAATGAGCTCAAATTAATAATTAATTAATCCATTAATTATTTATTTAATTTTTTTGGCTGAGGAGCTGGTGCATCCATAGAAATTGGAATTTTTTCTCTAAATTTATCCTGTGTTTCTCTTTTTAATGCTGTCATAGGAGCAAAAAAAGTAAGTACCTTCTAATTATTGTGTGGTTTTTTGGGAATTCTGGAAAATCCGGGAGTATCAGCACCTGTGGGATATTTATTAGACAAATTCCTGCAGAGTTTTCTTGAAAGGAATTAATTTTGAAGAGTTTTTTAAAATTAATTTCAGCTCTGTCAGTGGGAGGGAATCTCCTGGGAGTTCCTCATTATGGAATTCCTACTCCATAATTCACCTCATCCATGAGGGCTGCAATTCCAGGGCTTGGAGCTGCTTAAAAACTGGAGCAAAATCATTTAAAAATTAAAACAAAACAAAATTAATTTTTTAATTTAATTAAAAAATATCGAATTTTAAATTTAGTTTAAAAAAAAAGAAATTGTAGGAATTTTTTGTGCCAAATCCTACAAATTTATTATTTTGCTCATTATTACTATAATAAATTTAATTCTATGTAAAGGTCCTAACAAGAGTTTATTGCTCCATAAAAGAGAAAAACATAAAATTCCAAATTAAAGATTATTTTGAATTTATTTTTTCTTTAAATTCAGAATTGAAATCTTAATTTTTAAGTGGTTTTAGCTGTATCAAAGTTTCCCAACTCCAGGGGGAAAAAAGAAAAATCTCCTTTTGCCATTCCTATTAATTTGTCTAATTGGAATCTAATCAATATTTTAAACTCTATCAATTTAAATGTTTGAAGGCAAAACTTTAATTTAGTAATATATAAATTTAAATGGAAGAGTTCAAGACCCGAAAAAAGCATTTATATGTAAATTTTAAATTCAAATCAATAAATATTAAATTAAATTTTAAATTAAAAGCAATACATTTTAAATTAAATTTAAATGACAATTGAAAATTAAATTGAAGTTTAAAGTTAAGCGGTGGACTTGAGGCTTCCAAAATCTTCCAGGAATTATTTGAATTATAAACTTTTGAGGATATTTCATCTTTCTGGGAATTTTATTTGGCAATCTGCCACAGGTCAATTGTTATTAATTAATTATTGAATTTATCACAAGATTCCCAGCTCCTGGACAAGCTTTATTTGCCAATAACTTGGATTATATCCCAGAATTAAATCTCAGTTTTTCAGCAGCTGCCTTTTACTATGAAAACCCAATCAGGAGTAAACAATAACCTCCAAAAACTCAAAAATTTGAGCCAGTTTTCCCAAAATTTTGCCTAATTGGGAATAAGTAACATTTAATTAATGACTAATCCACTAACTTGGAATAATATCCCCTAATTCCCAAGGATTTGAACAAAATCCTGTGGGGTTTTTTTTTTCCTGCCTTAAAATTTCAAATAACGGGGGGAATTCTTGGCAGGAATATTTTAGGAGGAAGGCGGTTTTGGCCGCGTTGAATTCCTTGGAATTCAAACTTACCCCAGCAGGGAGAAATAAATGGAATATTTGTGCCTTTTCCCGGGAATATTAATGGATAAAAACATCTCCTGCATGCCCTTGCTTTGCTGTGCTGCCGCTACATTTGTTGTGCTTATCTCTCCATGCTGCCCGTTTATTTTCGGGAAGATGAGGACACGGAAAAATCCCTGCTCCGCCGACAAAGTCTGGCTGGAAAAGCCCCGGAACGAAGAAGCCGAGCGGGAAGCGCCGGAGCGGGAAGCGCCGGAGCCCGAGGCCGTCAACGGGATCTGCCACGAGGATTCCATCGAGGGGGAGCTCAGGGGGGACCCGAAAAAGCCCAGGAATGGCAAAAAGCAGCGGAAGCGGAAGCGCTCGCCGAAACCCAGAGCGCAGGATTCCAAGCTGGAGGCGATCCTGGCGGGAATGTCGGCGGAGCACGTGTGGTTTGACAAGCCCTTGTACGACCGCGCCGAGAGCGCCTACAGGATAAGACTGGCGGGTTCCCAGAGCTGGGAATCACCTGAGACTGGGAAAACGGCTCAGGAGTCTCCTGCCGTGGCCAGGTCGAAATCCAGCCAAGACATTCCCAAGGCGAGGATGCTCCCGGCGTGTTCCCATGGAAGCCTGGCCGCCTGCCACCACATTGTCCAAGGGGTTTGGATCAACAAGCTTGACTTCGATAAGGCCGAGAGGGCGTTCATGGAGAAATCCCAGTTTTTCCTTCCTCCCAACGTCCTGGCCATCCCATCCGTGTGGGCGAATTCCAGGCTGGGAACGCCGGACGAGGGCTACGGCACGGCCTTGCCCACTCCTGCCACTCCAGGCTTGGCTCCCGGCATTCCCAACTCTCCCGTGGCCTCCGTTCCCAGTTTGCCCAGCTCTGACCAGCAGACGGTCAATGGGAAGCCGCAGATTTCCAACTGGGAAGTTCTGGCATCCGAGGTGTGGCTGGAAAAGCCTCTCTACGATGATGCGGAGAAGAATTTTTATGAGAAGATGTTGGATGGGCACCCCTTGGATAAAACCCAACAGCAGCAACATGGCTGCCCAGAAGCATCCAAGGACCACAACCCTGGGAAACAAGCGGGAATCGCCTCCACCAACCCTGAGCTCCCTGATATTCCCAAGGAAAATCCTGTCTGCTTTTTCCTGCACAAGGACAGCGAATCCGTGTGGCTGAATAAGGTGACCTACGACAGGGCTGAATCCAGATATTTTGCCCTGGAAGCGGCCAGAGCAGCAGAGAAAACAGGGATCCAGGAATCTGCTGCAGAAAATCCCTCCCATCCAGCTGCTCCGAGCATTCCTGCTCCAGAAACGAAGTAGGAGAAGTTTCTTTGGGGGTAACACCCATGAAAAAAAAAAAACAACCAAAAACCCAAAACCAAAAAACAGCCAGGTTGGGATTGAGCTGGAAGGAATTTGCATGTGGAGAAGACTGGGTGGACTTGGAGATAATCCTGGTGGGCAGGGAGCAGGGGGGAAAATCCTTCAAGGAATTTCCCCTTCTCCTGAGGAATTCTGGTGGATAAAGGCTATGTTTGTGTGGAGCTAGAGGTTGAATGTTTAAAAGCAGGGCTGGGAAGTGAGCTCATTATCCCCCCCTTTTTGCATGGATTCAGCACCATCCTCCTTTCCATCCTCTCATTCCATGTGAAAATCAGCATCATAACCAGGATCCAGCTTGAAGAAAGTTTGGAAGCGACCGGAATACAATTTAGGGAATCAGTCTGGAGCATGTGCTGTAGTTTGGTTTTTTAAGGGAATTTATGTTAAGGTTGTTGATTTTTGGAATGCCCTTGGATCTTCTCCAAAGGCAGAGCTAAGGTAGAGACGGATATTCTGGGAAAAAAAGACTCTTGGAGCATCCATCCTTATTTCTGACACTTCTAATCCATTAATTTTATTGGGATTTATTGGAAAGCTTTTAGGATCTTTGTGTCAAGGGATTTAGGGGTCAAACACCTTTTCACCTGGTCCTGTTTGGGATCATTTCCTCTTTAGTTGGTCATAACTGGATATTTGGGAAAATCCACGTGTCTCTGTAAAAAAGTGGGATAAATTTGTCTGTATTTGAGATTTTCTGTGAGTGATCCTGGTTGGAATTCCAGCAGGTCCTGGAGATTTGAGTGTGGAAATTGGTTTTGCTGCAGCTCCTGTGTCTGGTAGCCTCTGGTCTCTTCCAAGTGGGTAGATGAGATAAGGAGGGATTTGATTTTGGGAAAATCATCTCTGGCTTCCCTGGAAGTGTTTTATGGGGTTTGGGATGATGAGGAAAGTTTTCTTGTGCTGCTCTCCACCTCTTCAAACTTCTGCTGGCTCTGTCCCTGTCCCTTTCTGGAATTCAGGGCACTTCCTCTTTTCCTCTTTTTTGAGGGCTCTGTTTCCCTTTGAATTAAGAACTTAACCCACCTTTGCTCCATAAAAATCCCCCGTTTCCCAGCAGGATTTGGAGGTTTTTGCTGTTTTTCCATGTAGCGCCAGGTCTGTCCCCTCCAAGTGTTGCTGATTTTTAATCAGGATTTCCCAGTGAACTTGCGGATGTCCCATCCCTTGAAGTATCCAGGGAAAAGTTGGATGAGGCTTGGAGCAACCTGGGATAGTGGAAGGTGTCCCATGGCAGGGGGGTGGAACTAAATGATCTTTATGGTCTTTTCCAACCCAAACCATTCCATTATTTCAATTCCCTTTCTGTCCTCCTACACAAGACATTTTCTTTAGCATAAACAAGAAAATCCTGGGGTTTTTTGATTTTTGATTTTTTTTTTTTTTTTTTTTTTTTTTTGTGTAATAAAGTCAGGATCAGCTGATTCATCCCATCCCCACTCCACACCAGGTCAGGCAGGTGGGTGATTAATCTGTCCTGCTTTTTTAAGAGGATCCCGGATACTTAAATCCGCAGCCAAGCCCGAGCTGCAGGCACAGAACCCGCTCCTGGCGAGCTGTTAACCTTCAATCCTTGCAGGAATTCACTTTTTGTGGATATTTTTCCCAGGAAAATGGCTGTGGATTACTTCCTGCACGACAAGATCTGGTTCGAGAAGTTCAAATACGACGACGCCGAGCGAAGGTTCTACGAGCAGATGAACGGCCCCGTGGGTGGCTCCTCCCGCCAGCAGGTAATTCCCAATCCCAGGAATTCCAGAGTAAGTCAAAGTACATGATCCACCTGGATTTTTTTGGGGATTTCTGCTCTTTTTTCCCTGTTTTTTTTTTTTCCCCAAGTCTTCCTGGAGCTCTCTAAGCTGTTTAAGACCCATTTGGGGTTTTGGTTTTTTCCCACTGTTTTCTGTGGAATTTGAAGGATTTGATTCCAAGGAACTGGGAGATGAAGTGCCTTTCTAACAGATTAATCAGTCCCAGCTTCCAGCAGTTATCCTTAATTTTTCCAGGCTACTGGGATCTGTGGGGGCACAGTTTGAGCTGGAATCCCCAAATCCCCAATTTTATTGGCAAAGAGCATCCCTGCCCCTCTTCATCCAGGGAAAATTCTGCTTTGCTTCCATTTTGGGGCAGTCCTTTGGAATATTCCAAGGGAATACAAACCTAAAGTTTGAACAGAGGCACCACAGCTGCAAAGATTTTGGGGGGGATTTTTTTATCCTTTTCTTTGTGCTCCTGGAAATATTCCAGGTGTTCCAGTGGAAGACTCTGTTCATGGTACCGGTGAGTTGGGGAGGGGAAGGTGGAGGGGGAAGCATGATCCTGCTGAGCTGAAATATTCCCAGCTTCAATATTATCCCAAAATTATTCCTGTTCCAAGGTTCAGAGCTTTCCTAACCTCTTCCTGCTCCTAACTGCTTGTGCCTTTGGAATGCTGAGTGTTCAGTGCCTCTTTCCAAGTGTTCACGGGGAAGCTTTTTGCTGAAATTATAACTTTTAGGCACATTCCAGCTATTCCTGCTGCCCATCCTGGCTTAGGTGCTGGCACAGCACCTGGGAGACTGGGAATAAAAAAAATTGGGAGCTCTGGATGAGTGCTGGAAGTAGGATTTGGAGTGAAAACCTCTTGGAACAGTTCAACTGTTTCAGGGCACATCAGGAGCTTGCAGTGAAGGAGTTTGGCCTGGGAGAGGTGGTTTGAAGGATGTTTTGGGGGAATTTATCAGCCACTTCCCCCATGGAAAAATATTCTTAAAACCTCCTTGGAAGTAGCAGGAAGTGGAACCCACCTGGATGTGTCCAGGCTGTTTCTCCTTTATTTTCTGTTTAACTCAGGATTTGGGGGTTTGTGGGAAATTTCACATCTTGGGTCTTGCTGGTGGGGGTGGGGGTTGCAGTCTGGGAAAGGCAAGGAGTGAATGGATGATGGAATTTCCAGGGAGGGAAATTTGAAATCCAGGCTAAGGCATGGCAGCAGGAGCACAGGGAGAAAATTCCTGGTGTGCTGGGTCCCACCTCTCTGGATAGAGCAAAGTCAGGGTTGTCACTTCCTGCTTGAGCTCAGGTAATGATGTGGAAAAATCCTGCCAGAGGCTGGGTTTCTAAGGAGTTCTGGAGTCACTCCAACCTTCTGGCAGCATCCCAAACTTTTCAGGGTAATTATAGGGAATTTAAAAGCTCTTTGACTGGATGATCCTTCTGAACACGTGACCAGGGATTGCCCGATTTAGCCCAAATCCTTACGGCAAAAATCACTGAATCATGAAAAGGACAATTCCCAATTTTCCCAATTCCCTTTCTCCTCCTTCCTTTCATTGTTTTTTTTTTTAACTTCCCTGATGATTTTTTTTTTCCCCCCCCATGTTTTAATATTTTTTTTTAAAAAAGAAACTCTTGGTTCTTTCTGCGCTGTTTGCAGGAGAACGGAGCCAGCACGATCCTCCGCGACATTGCCAGAGCCAGGGAGAATATCCAGAAATCGCTGGCCGGAGTGAGTACCCAAGCTCTCACCAGCTGGCTGCCTGCATCCCATTTTTTTTCTTTTTTTTTTATTTTTTTACTTTTTATGGAATTCTAAATCCCATAAATCATTTGGCTTCTTGGTTGGGAGCTAGAGGAGAAGACCAAGGTTTGCAGCGCCGTGTGCCACCAGCTCCACCCCATCCCCACACGCTGCTCACCTGCAGCGCTGCCAAAACTGGATTTGGGTTAAAAGAATTCCCTGAATTGGGCTTTTCCTTCCCTTTTTTTTTATTTTTTTCCCCCTTTTTGGTTTTTTTTTTTTCCTGGTGGGATGTTCCCATGGGTCTTAACTAACAGGTTCCAACTTGCAGAGCGTGTGGCTCTTTTTTGGGATACACTGGGCTGCCACCTTCTCTTCCCTGTTTTGCTTCCAGTTTAGGGGATGTGCAAAAAAAAAAAAAAAACCACCAAAAAAGTTGTGATTTCCATCTGCTACATCCAGGGAATTCAGCTTGGCTACAAGCTCTGAGGCTGGAGCATCCTGGAGGAGCTCAGGAATGCACTTCGTGGAGGTGTTTTTGTGCTGAGTGCAGACAAGAGCATTTTAAAAAAAAAATCTTCATTTTTGTAAAAGGAAGTTAAAATACTAATGAGTGGTTTTATGGGAAAGGAAAATCCTTGGAATACAGCCCAGGTGTCTTTGATTTCCTGCCTCTACAGTGGGACTCCCAAAGTAATCCATCCATTATTTGGCCTCATAATTCCCAAGCACCCTCAGTTTCTATCTTTGATCAGTCCAATATCAGGCAATAACAAGGAATTCCCCTTTCCCAAAGGGAATATTCCATATCCCTCCTTACACCCGCAGAAAGGAGCCAGACATTTGGGATGAATATAAGGAATCAGGATTTCAATCAACAGTTTAAGGAAAAATTTTCCAGAACTGGCTCATTTTATTTGAAAAAAAAAATATGGCTAAAGGAGGCCACCATCCCAAACAGGGTAAAAAGTTCCTTTGGGATTGGGCAAGGGGCAGGGAATCTAAACCCAAACCACCTGGAAGTGCTGCTCATCCTCACCTTCCAGAGTGTTTTGCCAAAGATGAGGAATTTCTTTCCTGACTCCTGTTAAAGAGCTTTTTTGGGAGAGAATCCCAGAAGTTTGGATCATCCAGGTGCCTGTAACAGGGAATTGGTAAAGCAACAGCCCAAAGCTAGGATAGGAATTTTGGGATATAAATTGTTTGGAGATGTTTTTGGAGATTAGTGCTGGATGTAAAAAATTGCTGGATATTTTTTGTTCCTAGGAAAGGGGTTGGATCTTCCACGTGGCTGAAAAAATAGTTGGAATATCCCTCAAGGATTATCATTAATGTTGGATAATCAGGCTGGACTTTAGGACATCCCTAAACTTCTTCCTTGCGTTCCAAAACCCCAAATTTACAATGTGAGAAAAGTGGGAAGAGCAAAAATCCTAGGATTTTTGTCTTTCCTTCCTCCATAATTATTGTCAGGGGTCTTAGGATGTGGCAAGGGAAGAACTGGCTGTGAAAAACTGGGAAAATGGGAGTTTAGTGCTTTTTTGCTGGGAATTTCAGGCTGGGATTGTGTCATAAAACATAGGAATGAGCACTTGGAATATGACGGGAGTCTGGAGTTCCTTGATTATGAGGAAAAGCAGGAAGTAGAACAGGAAATTCCACCTGAATATGAGAAAAAAATTTACTGTCTCTGATATTTAAAATGTATTTTAGGGATTCAAGCTTCAGGGAATAAGTTTATGTACCAAGGTGTTCTGCCAAAGTCCTGTTTTGTACCCTTCGTAATTCCCAGGGATTTTATTTGTTTGGATAATTAAGTTTATGCACAATTCCAGCTTTCCCAAGCACTTCAGCTGTCCAGAATATTTGAGACAGGCTGCAGCTTTAAGGTGGGTTTAGCACAAAAATTATGGCTTAAAAATAAAGGATTTGAGGGCTTTATACAAGAGTGCAGAGGAAGGGAGGGAAGTGGAACTCCCCACCTTGGGAATTTTGAATTCTTATCCCTGATAAAATTCATGGATGCTTGTGTGGAGCTGGAAGAAGGAAGAGGGTTGGAAGAGGGAATGGGTTTTGTCTGCCATAATGGAGGTATGGTGTCCACATTCCCAAAGCTTGGAGCATCTTCTCCTCAGGGAAGATCTCACAGTCTTACAAAGGCAAATTTTCCATAATTTTTGAGGATCTGGGACGTGGTTGTGCCTCTTGCATTGTCTTATGGTGGGTTCCAATTAAGATAAATTAAGATCTCGTGGTTGCTTCAGCTTGGGACAGGTATCCCTTGCTCTTCCCTCTTTTTTTTTTTCTTTAAGGAATTTTTATTGACAGGGAAGGGGAATCTCCTCTCCCTGTGCTGGCACTGCTGGGGCACCTCCAATCCTGGGATCAGTTTTGGGTCCTCGTGACAAGAAGGACATTGAGGGGCTGGAGTGTTTCCAAGGAAGGGAATGGATTGGGAAGGGTCTGGGAGCAGCTGTGGGAGCTGGGAGAGCTCAGCCTGGAAAAAACCATGAGGTTCTCACTTCCACAAATCCATGACAGGATTTCCAGGTGGGAATACTCGTGGGGAATGACAGGATGAGAGGAAACCACCAGAGGGGAAATTTAGCTGGAATATTAGAAAGATTCCTCATGGAGAGGGCTGTCCAGCCCTGGCACAGAGGTGGAGTCCCCATCCCTGGAGGGATTTGACATCCCTGTGGATGTGGCACTTGGGGACGCGCTCAGTGGTGGCCTTGGGGGAACCATTGGACTCCCATGGGCTCAGAGGGATTTTCCCACCTCTGTAATTCCATGATTTCCATCCTTGGAGCATCAGGGCTGGCATGGTGTGATGAGCCCACAGCGCTGCACGAGCTCCCTGCACGCACCAAGATGTTCGTGGAGAAGGCCCCAGAATTCCTGGGGGAATGTTTGCAGTGCGAGGCTGTTTCCCACCGCTCCCTAACTTCCCCTTGCATGCGGCTCTTCCCTGTGCTTGAGTTCCCTCTGGAACTGAGAAACCTTTTCCCATCTTCCCAACCTTTTTCCCACCCTGCAGCAGAAGACCCCTGCTCGGAGCAAGGAAGCTCCTTGTGCCCGTCCCAAGAAACAGTCGGGACGCTCCTCTGTAAGTGAGCTGTGCATGGATGGAGCCTGTGGAAAAACGGGAGAGGATCTGGTGGGATGAGGATAATGGAGCAAGTTCTCCTTCCTCAGGGTTTGTCCCTTGGCACTGGGATAAACCTGGATAATGGGATCTCATCCCAGCTCAGTGTCCTGGGATCTGCACTCACCTTCCTGAGCCTGAATCCACAGCTGAGGTGTCGGAGATGGAATTTTTTCCTGTCCCTTTGATATTTTCCAGCCTCATCCCTGGAAGTGTCCAAGGCTGGGTTGGACAGCTCTTGGACAGCTTGGGATAGTGGGACATTGTCTGGATGATCCTTAAAATCCCAACCTAAACCATTCCATGATTCAGACCTTTCCTTGTGCCTTGTATTCTTCATCTTATCCTTGCTTTTCCCTCTTTCCATCTTATGTGGCTGCTAAGATTCCACACTGGAATAAAAGAGAATAAATTATTCTCTCTTCACTTAGAAATGACAACTCAGGGGCAAATCCTGTCATTTTCTTTCCCTTTGTTGCCTGAAGCTGATGGATAAGGAACCTCCTTAGCATTAAAAAAAAAGAAAAAGAAAAAGCTCTTTTTTTTTTTGCTGTCAAAAAATCCATTGAAACCAGAGTTGGAATGATTATTCCCTCAGGATGTGTTAAAGCAGATTGAAATTGTTAGGAATTTATGGCTAGGCTGGGGAAGGTGGGAGTGTAGAATTCCTGGGATCTTTCCAGCTTTCCCAGTGTTACCTTAGGCAGGTCATTCCTGTCCCTCAGTGGGTTGGGAGAGGAGACCAAGGGTCTCCAAGATTTTTAAGGGACTTGGTGTGAAATTTTATATAAATTTTATGTGGTTTTAGTGGCATTTTTGGGATCTGAGAGTGGGAGAAGTGATTTTATCCTTTGCTCCTTGGTGCCAGCTGAAATTCCTTGGGATTTAGTCCATGCTTCATTTTATAGATCTGCTCCATTAGTTTCTATCCTAATTTAGAGAAAATATCCTTGGTTTTAGTTCAGCTCCTGAACTTCCTCTCTCCCTGAAGACACGACTCTGCTTTGCTTCATGGGTTTTTCAGGAGGAGGGGAAACAACTCAGTTTCATCCTGGTTTTCCTCGTTGCAGAGTGCAAGCACAACCTCCCCTGGAGCTGCTGGTGACCAAAATGAGCTCCTGTCCCGAATTTCCCACCTGGAAGTGGAAAACCAGAACCTCCGCAGTGGTGAGTGGGAGAATTCCTTGTCCTGGCTGGAGACCTGACATGCAACTGGGAATTTAAGGTCATTTTTCCTATTTTTCTCTCTTTTTTTCCCAGTTGTTGCAGACCTCCAGATGGCCATTTTCAAGCTGGAAAGCCGCCTGAACGCTCTGGAGAAATCCTCAACTTCCCACCAGCCCTCATCTGTTCCTCCAACCCAGGTGAGCCTTGGAAAAATGCTGGAATTTTTCTCTAGGAATTACAGCCTAAGATCCATGTGGACAAACATCCTGTTTTGATAAATCCATATAAATCCCACAGCGTGTCCTGAGCAGTGGAGATCCCCATTCCTGAGCTTTTCTTGGCTGCTCTGCTCCATCTCCAGGTTAATCTTTTCCCTCTTTTTCCCTTAAAAAAACCTCGGATCCGGTGAAGAAAGTGGAACCGTTCAGCATTCCCTCCAAAAAAGTGGAGCTCCCGGCCAAGAAAGCTGAGCCAGCTGCTGCTGAGGAGGATGAGGATGATGACATTGACCTTTTTGGGAGCGATGATGAGGAGGAAGACCAGGAAGCTGCCAAAGTCCGGGAGGAGCGGCTCCAGCAGTACGCGGAGAAGAAGGCCAAGAAGCCGGGACTCATCGCCAAGTCTTCCATCCTGCTGGATGTGAAGCCAGTGAGTGGCTTTGGGAATTTGGGAGCTCTGGGAGTGGGGCTGGGAATCCTCTCTCGGTGGTGGCACCTGTGGAATTACAAACAAGGCTCGGAGCCAGGTGGGATTTGTTGCTGTGGAAGCCTGGAATGGGTTTGGATGGATGGAACCTTAAATCCCATCTCATTCCACAGGTAGGGATACTTTCCACTATCCCAGGTTGCTCCAACCTGGCCTTGGATACTTCCAGGGATGGGGCAGCCAAAGCTTCTATGGGAATTCCATTCCAGGTCCTCACCACCCTCCCAGGGAGGGATTTCTTCCCAATATCCCATCTAATCTTGCCCTATTCCAGTTTAAAACCATTCCCACTTCTCCTGTCACTCCATCCTTGTCCAAAGTCCCTCTCCAGCTTTCTTGGATCTCCTTGAGGCACTGGAAGGGGCTCTGAGGTCTTCTGGAGCCTTCTCCAGCCAAGAAAGGGCACTTTGGATCAGTTGTGACATTCTCAGAGGTGTCACCTGGATACCCCTTGGAGCTGCTGATGATCTCCAGGAAAACCTCCCAATTCCCACTTTTCCAGTGGGACGACGAGACCGACATGGCCAAGATGGAGGAGTGTGTCCGGTCCATCCACATGGACGGCTTGGTGTGGGGAGCCTCCAAACTGGTCCCAGTCGGATATGGCATCAAGAAACTCCAAATCCAGTGCGTGGTGGAGGACGAGAAAGTCGGGACAGACATCCTGGAGGAGGAGATCACCAAGTTTGAGGACTACGTAAGTCTTGGAATGGGATGTGGGAAGGGCCTGGAAGCCATGGGAGGGGGTTTAACTCAGGTGTGTTTTCCTGGGAACACCTGGATGACTCCAGCTTTTGTCCCCTTCCAGGTGCAGAGCGTGGATATTGCTGCTTTTAACAAGATTTAGAAGGGAAAACTGTATCCCCCTCAACTGAACCTGGAATTAATAAAGATGAACATTGGGAGTGCACGTTGGGTTGTGGGTTTTTCCCTCAGGTGCAGCTTCTCCAGGGGGATTTGATGGGAGATTTTGGGATATTGGAGCAACCTGGGCTGGTGGAAGGTGTCCCTGCCCATTGCAGGGAATTGGAATGAGAGATAGTTAAGATCTCTTCCAACCTAAACCATTCCATGATTTCCCCATCCTTCATGGAAGGAGCAATCTCAGGACATGGACTTTAATTTTAGGGCTGGAATGAAGGTCTCAGGGTGTTTCCAGCCACCTTTCCCAAGGTTTAGAGATCCCAGTCACTCCCTACAAAAAACCAGGATGCATAATCCAGGAATTGCTGATTTGAGATGGATTTCATCCCTCTTTTCCCACTGACTCCCTGCCCAGGTCGCTTTAGCTGAGTGTGGCCTGGCAAGGGGACAGGTGACATTCCTGAGCATGGTCTGGTGAGGCCACTCCTGACTTTGGGAACACGAGGTCTGTCCCAGTGCCAGAGTCCAAGGTCTGGGGCCACCAGGGGACACTGGAAGCTCCATGGGACTGTGCTGCGAGGGGACAGGTGACATTCCTGACTTAGGGAACACGAGGTCTGTCCCAGTGCCAGAGTCCAAGGGCCACCAAGGGCCACGGGAAGCTCCCTGGGATTGTGCTGCCAGCCTGTCCCTTGTCCTGCTGGGGCCAGTCATTTGATATGTGACACGTGTCCCTCGCAGGGTCCTGCCACTGCCTGAGCGCTGCTAGGAATGCCCCTTGTCCCCTCTGCTGCCATCCTGAGTCCTTGCTGGTCCAGGCGGTGCCACGTGTGCCTTCTGTGTCCCATTTCTGTCATGTCACCACCCCTGTGTCCCCCATGGGCCACCATCCCTGTGCCATGTCCCCCATGTGCTGCCATCCCCTGTGCCCAGTGTCCTGCATCTGTCGCCATCCCAGTGTCACCAGTGTGCAGCCATCCCTGCTGCCGTGTCCCAGTGTCCCTGTATCCTCCCTCTGCTGCCATCTCGGTGTCCCCCTTTGTGCTGCCATCTCGGTGTCCCCCTTGTGCTGCCATCCCCGTGTCCCCCTTGTGTTGCCATCCCCGCGCCAATGTCCACTGTGCGCTGCCACCCCGCGTGTCCAGCTGTGTCGCCAAACCTGCCCCTTGTCCCCTTTGTGCTGCCATCCCTGCTGCCCTGTCCTTGTCCCCCGCGTCCCTCTGTCCCTGTATCCTCCCTCTGCTGCTATCCCGGTGTCGCCCTTGTGCTGCCATCCCTGTGCCACATGTCCACTGTGCGCTGCCACCCCGCCTGTCCAGAGAGAGATTTAAGGTCTCGTGTGTCACCAACCCTGCCCCGTGTCCCCCTTGTGCTGCCATCCCTGCTGCCCCGTGTCGCCATCCCCGCGTGCTCCCACCCCGCGCTTCCGTATCCCTCCTATTTCCCCGCTCCTCCCCGTGTCCCCACCCCTGTCCCCTTGTCCCCGCCCCGCCATGGCGCCGCTGGCGGACCTGTACCAGGTGTCCATGGCCTACGGGCACTGGCGGGCCGGGCGACACCGCGCCCCGGCCGCCGCCGAGCTCTTCTTCCGCCGCCCTCCCTTCCGCGGCTCTTTCGCGCTCGGCGCCGGCCTGGCCGAGGGGCTGCGGGGGCTCCGAGCCTTCCGCTTCTCCGCTGCCGGTGCGTGGTGACAGCGAGGGACAAGAGGGGGACACGTGTTGGGGTTGTGGGGAGGAGTGGTGGGCGAGGGGAACGTCCAGTGGGACTTGGAGGGACAGGGGAGCAACTCCAGGGGGGCAGGGCGGGATGGAGGAGAGGGTGAAGAAGGGACGGGAGAGGGTCAAGGGGGAGGGAGGGGGGAACAACTCAAAGGGACAGTGGGGACAGGAGGGGACAGGGGGGAGAAGCGTTGTGGGGAGCGGTGGTGGGAGAGGGAGAAGGGGAACCTTCCCAGGGAGGCTTTGGAACAGCTCCAGGGGATAGGAGGGGAAAGGGCAGGGGATGAAGGTGAGAGGGATGTGGGGGAAGGAGGGGAAATTCCCAACGGAGGAGGATGGGAGAACAACTCAAGGAGGCTTGTAAGCCATGGGACAGCATCCAGGGATTTCTGGGGACGTTTCAGGGGGACTTAAGGGGGGCAGAGAGTGATCTGGGGATGGGGAACCCCTCAGGGGGACTTGGGGAGGACTGGAATCCCTCAGGAGAACTTGATGGGGACAGGGACACCTCTCAGAGGGACCTGGGGGGCCTGGGAACCTGCGGTGGGGGAGAGGGACAGCATTTAAGGGGGACTTAGGGGACAGGGGAACCCCCCTGGGGCACTGCAGGGGATCAGGACAACTCATAAAGGGACGGGGACGTCTCTCAGATGAACTTAGGGGACAGGGAGACTCTTTAGGGGACACAGGGCAGGGGTGGACACAAAGAGCCTTCAGGGAAACTTGGGGGGACACTGGGACACCCTCCAGAGATGTCCCTCAGAGGGGACTTGGGCCACCCCACCCTGTCACACTCTGTGCTGGAGGTGCTGTCACCCACCTGCTGTCACTCACCTGTCCATGGGAGGCTCGGTGTTCCCCCCACCTCCCCTTGTGCCCCTTGTCCCTGGTGTCACCGTGCTGTCCCCACAGATGTTGCGTACCTGCGCTCTGTCCTGCCCAGCACCATCGACGACGCCTTCTTTGACTACCTGGCCACCCTGGACGCCTCCGAGGTGACCATCACCGCCATTCCCGAGGGCTCCGTCGTCTTTGCCAGGGTGGGACCCCCCTCCATCTTCTTTCCTGACCATCCCACCTTTCCCAGCTCCCAGACCTCCCCTCTTCCCTGACCCTCGGAGCCCCTGGACCGCCATTCCTGCCTTCCCACCCCCCAGCCTCCCGCCTCTTTCCTCAACACCATTGACCCCTTGAACCCCCATCTTGGCCATCCTTGTGTCCCCATCCCGTGGGCCCCCTTTTCCTTCACTCTGGGAACCCCTGGAATGCCTTTCCTGGGCACAGGGACAATCTGGACCCTCATTCCTGGGCAACAGTATCCCCCTGCGTGCCCTTCCCTGGCACTGGAATCCCCTTGTACCCCCTTTTCCTTCACCAATATCCCTCTTCAACCCCTTTCCTGACCATCCCACCTCTCCCAGGCCCAGGCCTTCCCTTTTCCTTCACTCTGGGATCCCCTGGACCCCCATTCCTGCCTTTCCCAGCTCCTCCCTGCTCCAGAGGGACCAGGATGTCACTTCTCTTCCCTCAGGTGCCGTTCCTGCAGGTGAAGGGGCCGCTCCTGGTGGTGCAGCTGCTGGAGACCACCTTGCTGTGCCTGATCAACTACGCCAGGTATTTTGTCATGGGGATGATCCCAAAGCTCCCCTGGAAGATGGAGAGGGGCAGGGAAGGGAGTGCAGCACCCCCCAGTCCAGAGGCACACCCCAGTCCTGGGGGTACCATGACCCCACGAGTTCCCTACTGGGATTTAACTGCTGGAATTCTACCAGTTGAATTTAACTACTGGATGGTGTCCCAGTGTCCCCCCAAGTTTTCCTGAGGGCTTCCTGTGTCCAGCCCGCCCTGAAGAGTCTCCCTATCCCTCAGGTTCTCCTGAGAGATGTCCTGGTCCCCCACAGGTCACCTTTAGGATCTCCCTGTCCCCCAAGTCCCCTTGGTCAACTCCACCACATCCCTGTCCACTGAGTCCTGTGGTAATCCCTGCCTTGTCCAAACAGGGAGGGTCCTGGAGCCCCTTTCCCTTGGCTGTGCTGGCTCTGTGTCACCTGTCCCCTTTGTCCCCCAGCCTGGTGGCCACCAACGCTGCCAGATTCCGTCTCCTGGCCGGCCCGGACATGAAGCTCATAGAGATGGGGCTCCGCCGTGCGCAGGGGCCGGATGGAGCCCTCTCGGCATCCAAATATTCCTACATTGGGGGTGAGTCCCACCCCACGGTGCCCGGTGCCACCGCGGCCCTGCCATCACCTGGGTGTCCCCCCTGTCCCTCCTCGCAGGCTTCGACTGCACCAGCAACATCCTGGCGGGAAAACTCTACGGAATTCCCGTGCGCGGCACCATCGCCCACTCCTTCATCATGTCCTTCAGGTGCCTGGAGGAGGTGCAGCCACGGGTGAGCAGGGCCTGGGATGGGATGGGAATGGAGAAGAATATTGGATGGAGATGGGATGGGATGGGATAGGGATCTCATGGGGATAGGGATGTAGAGGGGGATAGGAATGGAGATGGGAATGGGTTGGGAGGGGAGAGGGATTGAGTGGGGTTGGGGATGGGATGTGGATGAAGATGGGATATGGGTGTAATTGGGATGGGCAGAGGGAAGTGGGATGAGGATGGAGTTTGTATGGAGTTAGGGATGGGAGGAGATGGAATGGAGATGGGATACGGATGAGGTGGGAATTGGGCTAAGGTGGGATGGAGATGGGGATGGGATGAGAATGAGGATGTGGATAGGGGTGGGAATGGGATGTGGGATGAGATAGGGGTGGGATGGAAATGCAGACAGGGATTAGAGTGGGATGGATGGGGAATGGAACACTCCACCTGTTCCCACACTCCTGGCACCTTGGATGATGCCACGGGCTGTGCAAATCCCATGTTCCCACACTCCTGGCACCTTGGATGATGCCACGGGCTGTGCAAATCCCATGTTCCCCTGGCAGGAGCTGCCGCCTCGGGCCGGAGGAGATCCCGTGGATCTGGCAGACCTGGCTGTGTCCTGGCTGCAGAGGGTTTGTGACCTCCTCCAGACTCCTCCCAGCAAGGCCAACCAGGGCGAGCTGGCCGCCTTCGTGTCCTACGCTGTCACCTTCCCTTGTGACTTCCAGGGATTGCTGGACACCTATTGTGTCAGGAGGTGGGGACACCATGGCATAGGGGATGGATGTGGCCCTGAAGTAGAAATGTTGGCTGGTGCAGGGCTTGGAAATAATGCTGGATCCACCCTGGATCAGTTTTGCACATGTCATTAATGCTTTCCTTGCCCATGCCAGGAGTGGTTTGCCCAATTTCTGTGCCGTGGCCTTGGCACTGCACCAGCTGGGATACCAGGCCATCGGAGTGCGCCTGGACAGTGGGGACCTGGCCCAGCAATCCAAGGAAATCCGGGGAGTGTTCCAAGCCTGCGGAGCTCAGTGAGTCCTACACCAGCTCTGGGATGGATGTCACTGATCCCTGTCATCCTCACCAGCATCCAGCCAGGATTTGGGAGCCCTCATGGCTCTGGGTGCTGTGGGTGGATCCGTGGATCCTCCCAAATCCTGCTCCTTGCAGCTTCCAGGTGCCCTGGTTTGGGACCATCCCCATCGCTGTCAGCAACGACATCAGCGAGCAGAGCCTGGAGGAGTTCAGGAGGGAGGTGAGGAACCTGCTGGCACAGCTGGGATGTCACCTGGATGGTGCTGGCAGGGCTGGGATGTCACCTGGGCTGTCCCTGGTGCTGGCAGGGCTGGGATGTTGATGGTCTCTGTCTTCTGTGCTGCCTCAGGGGAGCGAGATCGACATGATCGGCATCGGGACCCACCTGGTGACGTGTCCCCTGCAGCCATCGCTGGGCTGTGTCTACAAGGTAAAGGTGGCAGCCTAAATCCCAAATATCCCCGTCCTCACTGAGCCACTTCCAGATGGTCCATGCCTCCTCCATGGCCATCCAGCCCCAGTGGAGTCAGAGTCACAAAGAGTTTGCCTTGGAAGGGAGTTTTGAAGGTCCTCCACCACCATGGACAGGGACACCTTCCATTATCCTAGGTTGCTCCAAGCCCCATCCAACCTGGGCTTGGACACTTTCAGGGATGGGACAACCACACATTCTCTGGGAATTCCATTCCAGCCCCTCACCACCCTCACAGAGTGGAATTCCTTCCCAGTATCCAATCCAGCCCTGCATTCTGGCAGTGGGAAACCATTCCTCCTCATCCTGTCACTCCATCCCTTGTCCCAGGTCCCTCTCCAGCTCTCCTGGAGCCCCTTCAGGCACTGGAAAGGGGCTCCAAGGTCTACCTGGAGCCTACTCCAGGCTGGACATTCCCAGCTCTCCCAGCCTGGCTCCAGAGCAGAGGGGCTCCAGCCCTTGCAGTATCTCTGTGGCCTCCTCTGGACCTTTTCCAGCAGCTCCACATTCTCCTGATGTTGGATCCTAGGGCTGGAGCAGCTCTGCAGGTGGGGTCTCTGAGAGGGACAGGGGCAGAATTCCCCCCTCTCCTGCTGTCCACACTGTGGGATCAGCCCAGGACCCAGGGAAGTTCTGGGTGCCAACGCTGGGTCATGGCCCACCAGAAGCCCCAGGTCCTCAACAGGCAAGAGGAGGCAGAATGCCCAACTTTGGGAGGTTTTAGGGTTTTTTAATTGTCTTTTTTCAGCTGATTTGCATCAGTTGCCCCCTCAGAGGGGTCACAGGTTCCCTTCCCTTCTCCCACAGCTGGTGGAGGTCAATGGCTCCCCATGCCTGAAGCTCACGGAGGATGAGGAGAAGATGACAATCCCGGGGATGAAGGCAATCTATCGGCTCTATGATGCTGCTGGTGAGTCTGGAGACCCTTCCCAGAGTCCTGGGGGAATGTCCTGCTCCATAATTCTCTCCCTGATGTCCTCCTGGCAGGTCACCCCTTCATGGATCTCATGGCCTTGGAGGAGGAGCCATCACCCAGTGCGGGGCAGGAGCTTGGGATCCGTGTCCTGGGGCGGCTTGAGGAGACCACCAAGGTCATTCCCAGCACCGTGGAGCCCCTCCATCGCACCTACTTCAGGGATGGCCAGGTCAGGGGTTGTCCCATCTCCTGGGAGGGCTCCTCTTCCATGCTGGAGGATGGATCCAGGGCAGCGCTGGCTTCTGCCAACAACTCTGGTGCCAACCCAGATGTGGTGGCTCGGGTGGTGGCTTCCCACATGGATCTTCCCACCTGGATCTCCATCCCTGCAGGTGTGTGAGCCCCTGCCCAGCCTGCCCGAGGTGAGGACCCACGCCCAGGTGTCCCTCAACCTGCTCAGCCCTGCTCACCGCCGGCTCCACGAGCCACAGCCCTACCCGGTACGTCCAGCGCTTCCCACATCCCACCGGCACACACCTGGGAATGCCGCTGGATCTGGTGGCCTGAGCAAATCCATTGGCATTCCACTGGATGCTGCTCAGGCCACCAAACCCAGTGGCATTCCCAGGAGCTGCTCCCTGAGCCCTCCTGTTCCCATTCCCAGGTGGCCGTGACGGAACGGCTGCACCAGCTCTTCCTGGAGCTGCGCCAGGGCAGCCTCTGAGGGGCTCCCTGATCATCCCCAGCTCCTGCTCTGCTCTTTTTTGGGAAGCCCAGGTGCCGCGTTAGGAATTAATGGCTCTAATTTAGACCTTTCCACTGCCTGATGCTAACCTGAGGAACCTGCAGGAACTGGGAGAGAGCCCTGGGCAGGGAAGCTGGGAACACAGGGATGGGGAAGGCAGAGCTGTGCCTGCATCCCCTGGAAGTGACTGTCCTGTGGTGGCCCTGCCAGCCTTGTGCCTTCCTTGGTGGCCCTGCCACTCCTGTGCCTTCCTTGGTGGCCCTGCCACTCCTGTGTCCAACTTGGTGGCCCTGCCAGCCTTGTGCCTTCCTTGGTGGCCCTGCCACTCCTGTACTCAAGTTGGTGGCACTAGACCAAAGTCTGGAGTGCCACCAAAAGGGTGACAAGGGACACGCGTGGGGTACCCACGGCAGACGCTCTTTGCTTTGGCAATTCTAAGCTTCATCTCTGTGGCCACATTCCAACTCTTTCCACTCTGGCCGAATTCCCTGGGATGTGGAGGCTGGCTCCAGGTTGATCCCAGCTCCAGGTTGCCACCTGCACTCTCTAACCCCTGTTCCCACAGGAAACGTGGCTCTAACCCACACTGAGCTTCACACTAAGCAAAAAATTTCAAATAAAGGCCTTTTCCCACCATGGCTCTGACCCTAATTCCAGTGAAAAACCCTTTGGAGCTCCACTGGGAATGGGAAGGTGAGAGGGAAATCCCCAAGGATAAAACCTGTGGCTTTGCTGTCCTCTCCATGGTTTGGATCTTGGCAGAAATTACAGGGAAGAAAACAATTAAGAGCTTAACAAAGCATGGCCTGATGGTGTTGTATTTCTGGGAATTCCAACAGCATTGTATCCCATTTTAAGACAGGAAAAAAATACTCCAGGAAGTCCAGGATCAGTTTGCTAAAAATTAGATTTTTTTTTAAGCAAAGCACCAAAGATAAGGAGTCCATTGTACCTGAGTAGAGATTTTCCTCAGTTTTTGGGAGAGGAGGAATGAAGAACAAGGAGAGTGACCTGGGCCAGCATTTGTCACCCTCAAAGATGCAATTCCTGACGTTTAGGAACCATTTTGGTGGGCAGAGAAGCTCCTGGGTGGCTCTGCACATTCTCCTCAGGTATTTATGGACATTGAGGAGATTCCCTGAGCCTTTTTTTTCTCCAGGCTGGGCAATTCCAGCTCCCTCAGCATCTCCTCATAGGAGATGCTGCAGTCCCTTCATCATCTCTGTGGTTTTTCCTTGGATTTTGTCTCTGATGTACTGGGGAGCCCCAAATTGGACCCCAATATTCCTGGTGTGACCTATCGGAGCTGAGCAGAGGGAAAGAATCCCTCCAGGACCTGCTGGCAACACCTGGAATGCCAGAAAGATCCCAAACCACGCATCCCAAGCCACCAGGACTGATCCAAAGCCCCAAGCTTTGTTAAAATTACTTCACTCCGCGTTAAAGAGGGGAGGAAAAGAGAGGGACAGGGTTAAACCTGCACATCCGGGACTCCTGGATGCTTTCCTTGAGGTTTTTTTATGGAATTTGGGCATCCCACTGACTCAACTTCCCACTTAATAGCAGGGAACCCCCAAGTGTAGAAATTTACTTAACTTGAGGAACACCAGTTCCCACCCAAATCCTAAACCCTCCTGCACAAAATCCCAGAGTGCTCTTTTTTTTTTTTTTTTTTTCTATTTTTGCCCTTGGAATTCTGGTGTTTACCCCAGAACTTGGAAGTGGATGCAAAGATGGGACAGAAAGTGCTGAAAGTGAGGTTGTAATAACACTGAATTCTGTGCAGACTTTGCCAAAAAGAGGAAGCAGCAGGAGCCCAGATGATGTTCCTCTGCTCCCATCCTCCTTCCAGTTTTGTTCTTGGAAAAATACCTGTTTTTAAAGCATAGCTTCAGCTCAGGATATCCATGATTGGAAATAAGGGATGGTGGGTAAAAGTGCCAGTTAGTGCTGGATAAGGGAAGTGCAGGGAATTTAGGGACACAGGTGAGGAAAATCAATCCTGACCTGATTTTCCTCACTCCACAAATCTGGGTGAGGATCTCTGAGGAAAGGTTGTGGTTTCTTGGTAGACCTGTGGATAGTTCCTTGTGTTTTGATTTCTGCTGGTCCCCAGCTTTGGAGGGAAGGGAAACAAGAATGTGGGGATGCTCCAGCTGCAGAGTACCCAGAGAGGGAGAATTGTGGAATGTGGGGAATGAGAATGAATTTGAGCATCAGTAATTCCAAGTCCAGCTGTGCCCAAGGACCAACTACCACTGGATAAAGCCAGGATTTAACAAACCCAGCCTGGCTTGGATAAATTGACACCAAGAGAGGCGAGAAGAGGCAGCTCAGAGCATCCAGACTTGGCTGCTTCCACCTTCTGGGACGATCCAAGCTCCCATTCCTGACGTTGCTCCTTGCCATCAGCTCTGGACGGTGTCATTTGTAAAGTGCCATTTTCCTGCTCTGGTACAGGTACATGTAGGCGTCACAAAAGAGGCGTTTGGCCACCCCATCCATGTCCCGAGGCTGCTCCAGGGCCAGCACAGCCAGGGGCAAGTCCAGGTATTTGGCAACTTCTGGACACAGCATCACCGTGGGAATGTTGAAGCCATTTTCGCCACCTGAGGTGGAAAGGAGGAGAAAAGTCCCAAACCAGATCCCAAAGGGATGAGTTCCTACGGCTCCAGCAGATCCCAGCACACTCAGGAGTCATGCAGAGCCTCAGCTGGGAGATGTGGAGGCCAAAAGCACTGGAAGAGGCTGGATTAGGGGAGCCCATCCAACCTAAAGGGGATTCAGGAGAGCTGGAGAAGGGTTTTGGACAAGATATGGAGGGACAGGACATAGGGAATGGCTTCCCAGTGCCAGAGGGCAGGGACAGATGGGGTTTTGGGAAGGAATTCCTGCCTGTGAGGGTGGTGAGGAGCTGGAATGGAATTTCCAGAGGAGCTGTGGCTGCCCCACTCTTGGAATTGTCCAAGTCCATGTTGGATGAGGCTTGGAGGAGCCTGGGATAGTGGAAGGTGCCCATGGCAGGGGTTGGAACTGGATGGGTTTAAAGGTCCCTTCCAACCCAAACCATTCCACGATTCTGTGATAAAAGCACAGTGGGGAAGGACAGGACAACCAATCTGTGCCCACAGGCTGAGCCAGCTGGGATAGGATCCCAAATCCCTTGTTTGACCCCAACCAGAAGCTGGAACCACCTGGAAAAACCCCCTCGCAATCTAATTAAAGGAAAGCCAAATCCACAGAAAGCCCAAACAGGGGGACTTGAGAGGAAGAGGTGGACTGAGCAGGCCCAGGCAGCTTCCCACATCCCATTCCCACATCCCATTCCCATTCCCTCACCGTGCCGGTCGGCCATGCTGTCGAAGAACATCCAGTGCTCGTTGCCAGGGCCGTATTTCACGAAGGACACGTAGTGACTGGTCTCGATGCAGAGCACTGCAAACAGCTCCAGCTTCTCCCGTGGCACCTGCTGGCAGCCCCGGGCGCTCCAGCTCTGGAATTCCTCTGGAACGTGCAGCCTCCGGGGTTTGTGCGCTTTGCGCCGGTGATGGGAGTGAACCTGAGGAGAGGGGACAGGGTGGCATTGGCAGAACTGGCCTTGACGTACCAGGAAGGGGGGACAGAGGTCACATTCCCAATTTATTCCCAACTGATGTGATTCCCGTGCTCCCTGCTTGCCTGGGAATGGCGTTGTGGGAGCAGCCTGGCAGCAGGAAGCTGAGGTGGGAGCTTGTCGCCCTGCAAGAGGCAGAAACTGTGGGAATGCTCATGGAGAAACAGCAGGGAGGGATCAGCACTCAGTTCCTGCAGGATTACACCTTATTTATGGAACAGGTTGTTCAGGGAAGCTGTGGGTGTCCCATCTCTGGAATTGTCCAAGGCCAGGCAGGACAGAGCTTGGAGCAACGTGGGATAGTGAGCAGCATCCAGGGGGAGGAACTGGAATGAGCTCCAAGGTCCTTTCCAATCAAAGTTTTTCTAAGATTCCATTATTATTTAGGCTCTGTGCAAGCAGAGGGTTCACAACCTCTGGCTCCTGGTGGGAATGACCCTCAGGAAAGGGCTGAGCAGCTGCAGGGACAGCCAGGGGAATGTGAGGATTTTGGGAGGGTTTGTCCCACTGACAGCTTCCAAGGGGGATTTTGGGAATAGCCATGGAATACCTGTTTGGAGCAGGAGCTGCAGAACTGCTTCAGGCCTGTGGCTGCAAACACTTTGTCCTTGAAACACTCTGAGCATTCCAGAGTGGCAACATCCCCACACAGGCAGCATTCCCTGGGACCTGCCAGGGAAAAAAAAGAGCTCAGAGGGACTGTCTCCTCCAGATCCCACCTAAAATCCAGCTTGTCCTGCCAAAATTGGGATTCAAGGAAGAAGAATCCCACTCCAGAGAGCCCAGAGCTGGTTGCTCACAGCCCATCATCATCACTCACTGTCCAGCAGCAGATCTGTTATATCCAGCTCCAAGGAAGGGATGATTTTGCTGAACATTTTATATTCCTTCCCAAAACGTGGCATTTGGATAATGAAGCAAGATGGGATCTGGGGGAAAAAAAAAATAAAGGAGAAAGGAGTCACCCTGCCAGAAGAGCCAAATCTCAGATTTTTTTGCTCTGTTTCAATTTGCTGTCATTATTCACAGGACAAAAGGGAAACAGGGAAAGCAGAGGCCTTTTCCTAAGTCATGCTGGGATTCAGTGTTGGATATAAAACATCCAAGGCCTCACAGGTATCTTGGGAAGCAAGAAAAGCAGGAAAGCAGAAGGAAACTGGACTCACTTCCACCAGCTTCAAATCTGAGGAGAGGAAGGAGCGTTCCACCAACTGCTGCACATCAGGAACCACCAAATCCTCCTGTTTATCCATAAATATCTGGTAGCAGTAACATTCCTGCTCCTGGCCTCCTGACCTGCAAGGAGAACTCATGGGATTGGGGATGTGATGACACAAAAATTGGAGTTTCCCAAAGTTTGTCCTGGGAGAGCTCCTGGGCTCAAGGCACCGAGGGTGGTTTGGTGCAACACAAAGCCCTTTTTCCACCCAAAAATACCAAATTTATGCCAGGGGAGCAGTAGATAAGTAGGAGTTTTGGCTTCATTATCCCTTTGGAGCAGCACATCCTATAAGCAAAATTCCATTTCCCCTCGATATAAATCTAAAAGATAATTTAGTATTAGCAAATTTAGTATTTAAATTGACAAACGGATGCTTCGATGAAGGATTAAGTAAAAAAAAAAAAAAGCATCCAAAACTCAAGGTGAGTTGTGTACAGATCTCCCACAATCCCTAAAGAAAGCAGGGAAAGGATTTCCTTGGGATGACCCCGTGCAGGGGAGGGGCAGCACAGAGTCCTCTTTGTGCTCGGCTTTCCCAGCTCTCCACGATCCACGGCTCGAGCGGCGGCTCCACAAAGGAGCCACAGAAATCCAACAATTCCCTTTCTGTGCTCACAAACAGCACAGTTATTTTTGGCTTCCTCCAGCCTCTCATCCTTTTTGTAGAGTCCCCAAAAAAACTGGGACTGCGTCCATGGGCTGCCTGTTTTGAGAGGCTGTGGGAGCTGAGCCAGCCTGGCAGCCTGGACACATCCCAAATTCATCCATAGGCTGTCGGATAACTGCTGGATCTGCCCCAAAGTCGGACATCGCCTTTCTCAAACCCCTTCTGGCTCTCCCTGAGGATGGCAAAAGGTTTTTATCCCAATTTTCTGCAGGCAGCACCCTCCAGGGAGGGCTAAGAAGTGTCTTTGCCCAGATGGGAAGATCACAACAAGTAGGATCAGAGTCTGTTCCTAAGGAGCCGCGAAAAACTCACAGCTGTGATTCCAAAAAACTTTGGTGGAAAGGGACAAGTGACCCTCATCTGCCCAGGGATTCTGAGGTGGAAAATTAATGAGCCTGGCTCTGGGAATTGTATCCCTCAGCTGTGGAAACTTACTGGAGTTTCAGTAGTGGCTCAATTCCCAGGATCTGCTGCATTATGAGATTGAGGAACTCCTCAGGATCTGGAAAATTAGAGGAAAGGATGGATCAGACCACACCAGGAACTGCCTTGTCCCACTGCATCCAAGAGCTGCCAGGTAAACATGAGCCAGTGTTCCAAGGGCCTGGAATTCGCTCTTCAGGTTAGGGATAAAGGCTGAGAGCACATGGGTAAGGCAAAAATCCCAAAGGGAACATGGAAAATGCCAAGCAGCCTTCAGAGACTGCACTTCCATGGAATTCCAAGATGGTTTGGGTGGGAAAAGACCATCAAGATCATGAAATTACAGCCATTGCCATGGGCAGGGACACCTTCCACTGTGCCAGGTTGCTCCAAGCCTCATCCAACATGGACTTGGACAATTCCAGGGATCCAGGAGCAGCCACAGCTTCTCTGGGAATTCCATTCCAGCTCCTCACCACCCTCCCAGGGAGGAATTCCTTCCCAAAACCCCATCTGTCCCTGCTCTCTGGCAGTGGGAAGCCATTCCCTGTGTCCTGTCCCTCCATATCTTGTCCAAAATCTTCCTCCAGCTCTCGTGGAGCCCCTTTAGGCACTGGATGGGGCTCTGAGGGTACTGAAAGAGAGATTTAAAAACTGAAAGAATTCTACAAGTGAATTTCTACACCAATCAACATCAGCACCTAATTAAAGCACATTCCTGGGAGAAGCACAGAGGGAAGTTGCCAGCTGGTGCCTGGAGGAGGCGAAACACAGGGAATCAGCTGGGGAAGGGCCCCAGGGAGCTCCTTACCTTTCTCAGCGTTGGTAAAGCTGGAGCACTGGCCCTTGTCCGTGAGCTGCTCCCGGAGGTGCATCACACTGCTGGCCCTGACAAAGCCGGTCCTGGGAACAACAACCAGCTCCAGGTGAGGGAAATCATGGAATGGCTGGGCTTGGAAGGGATCTTCAACTTCATCCAGGTCAACCCCCTGCCATGGGCAGGGGTGCCACCAACAAGGCCAGGTTGCTCCAAGCCCCATCCAACGTGGCTTGGGACACTTCCAGGGATGGGGCAGCCAAAGCTTCTCTGGGAATTCCATTCCACCCCCTCAGCGCCCCCCACACGGAAAATTCCTTCCCAGTATCCCATCCCAATCCATGCTCTGTCAGTTTAAAACCGTTCCTCCTTGTCCTGAACACCTTTGGATGTGGCTGCCAGGTTTCCCTGAGTGCCAGGTACCACCTTTAGGGCAGCAGGGAAGGAATGAAGGCAAACGGGACAAATTCCAGCATTCCCTACACTCACCTACGGAGGGGATTGACGATCTCATCCCGCAGAATTCCCTGGACATTCCTGTCACACAGTGGGTAGGGCATGAAGAGCATGGAGTCCAGCACGGAGGTACAGGAGAAGAGGCTGTGGGAAGAGTGGGATGGGTTTGAGTTTGAGAGTTTGGAAGCAACAGCTGGAACCAAAAATGTGGTGGCTGGTGACAGTCAATGGCTCTGATGCCCAACAATCCATGCATGGAATTACAGGGAGGTGAGGGTAGCACATCTGCACAGTGAGGCACATCTGGAACAATGAACACTTGGATAAAGCAAGGGAACGGCTCAGGGAGAAGGAAGTTCCTACTTTGCAGCCAAAACTGCTCAGAGAAGGGCACCACTGAATCTTTTTCCTCTCCAAGCAGGGAAGTTGGGACCTCCTGGGTGGGTTCTTTGGAATGATTCCAGCCAGAACTTCCAGGGACAGAGTCAGCACAGTCCAAATCCGGAAAACTACGAGCTCTCAGCACCCTGAATGACAGACACAGGGGTACAGGGGGTCTTCAGGGCTGAAAAATCTGCTGGATTTGGGAAGGAGATCCAAAAGCACCATGGAGGTAACACAGTAACACCTTGCTCTACACCAGGTAAACTTCCAGCCACCTTGGAAATCCAGGGAAGTGCTGCAATTTGGGGCTTAGCTTAATTAAAAAGCCATTCATTTAAGGAGCCTGCACCACCCAAGCAGGTCCTTACCTGAAGAGAGCTGCATCCATGTAGCAGGAATTACAATGGCCTTGGATGCCCTTCATCCGCCCTTGGAGAACACGGACTGCTGCCTCATTCCTGAGGGGAGGAAAACTCTCTGGACCCTCTGGAAGAACTTCTTGTCCTCCTGCAAGAAAAGGAATTGCCTTCACCTTCTCATCTGGGTCAACTCTGCCCTTTCTTGATGTCTCAAAAGTCTGAGGCGAGTCTACGACTCTCAGACCTAAGGTGGCTTCTCAATCCAGCTTTTCATAAGTCACAATCTTTCAGACTTGAGGGATATTCCCTAAGGAACCACTTAAGCTGGAAAAGACTTCTAGGACTGAGTCCAGCTGTCAATCCAGCCAAAGATGCGGCGTGGGATAAACACCAAAAAACAACGCTCGAAGGAAGGGAAGAAACGCTGCCCACGGGGTTTTTCCACATCCTTCTCCCATCACAGCCCCATTTTTTCCTGCTTCCCAGAAGACTCACTGTAATCCCCCAGGGACAGGTCAGAGTTGGGGAAGCTCTGGAAGCGCACGTCGGGCTGGCAGGAGTTCAGCCTCACGAAGAGGCCGCGCTTCGGGGCGCAGTGGAAGTAGGACTTGCCCAGCCACTCTCCAGCTGTGACCCCCTTGTCTTCATCCTGGGAAAACAGCACCAGAGACGAGCCTGAGAGCGGGATTTATGGAATTATGGGTGGAAAAGAGGCCTGAGATACAGTCTAGCTATGCAATGCTGCTGAGGCCGCCATTGGATCGTGTTCCCAAGTGCCACATCCACAGGGATGGGGACCTCACCCCTGCCCTGGGCAGCTGTGCTAGGGCTGGACAACCCCATCCATAAAGGAATTTCCCCAATATCCAACCTAAACCCCCACTGGAGCAGTTTGAGGCTGTTTCCTGTTGTTCTGTCCCTTGTTTCCTAGGAGCAGAGCCCAATTCCCACCTGGCCCCATGTTCCTGTTAGGGAATTGCAGGGATCCAGAAGGTTCTCCCTGAGCCTCCATTTCTCCAGGACGAGCCCTCCCAGCTGCTCCTGGTGCTCCAGACCCTTCCCAGCTCCATTCCAGCCCCTCAATATCCTGTGCCTGGGGATCCCAAAACTCCACCCTCCATATCCAGCCACTGCTACCAGCACTCCCAGGTCCTTTCCCAGCTTTCCAGCCTCACCAGTTCAACTCCAGCCATTTTGTCCTTGATTTGGGGCAGGTAGCCCAACCAGCGGATGATTCCTGAAACTTGATTCCCCTTGTCCAAGGTAATCTGGACCATGGAATTCACTTCCAGGGGCGAATTCCCACCTTCCCCTTCCTCGCCGCTCTCGCTGATCTCTCGTTTCATTTGGTTTGGTTTTCCAAAGCCTGCGTCAGAGTTGAACATTGGGAAAAAACCTGATGGGCAACACGAAACATCGGGAGAGCTGGGAATTGGATCCTCTGGATCTAATTCCAGGTCTATTTTGGAAATTCCAGGCTACACACACAAGCAGGAAGCTGAGCACCAGGGACACAAGGTGTAATTCCCAGTGTGTCCAAGCTGGTCTGACAGGATGAGAGGGAATGATCCTGCTCCTTGTTTCCCTGCTCAAAGCTTCACATTCCAACTCCTGGCTGGCCATGGAGCTAATCCAGCCCTTCCCAGGATACTGGAATAGCAGCAAGGGGCTTATTTCCTAGTTTTTCCACTAATTCCTTGTCTAGTCCAACAATTCCCACCATTGCTGCTGGCACCTGAGCCTTTCCCACCAGGATGAAGCTCCTGCTCCATATTTTACAGCTGAGTTAAAGACTTTTTAACCAATGGTGCCTCTTCCCTGAGGGAATTCTCTGCTACCATCAGCCTCTCCTTCCTGACAAATGGGATTCAGCTTTAGCTTTGTGTGGAACTTGAGATTTTTCCATAAATCCTGGCCCATTAAGACAAGCTGTAGGTTTTATTGGAATTTCAGCTCCTCAGTGCAGAGAGGGACTAAATTCCGAATTCCCCCAGAAGAGGATCAGGAGAGACACATCCAAAGATCACCTACTTTGCAAGCTCTCCTTCACAACATATTCCATGGGGATTTCCCTGAAAATGTCAGTCGTTCCTTCTTCTTCCTGAAAGGAGTAAAAAATCCATCAGCTAGGGAAAAACCCATCAGCTAAACACTGGAATATGAAGGACTTTTTTAAACAAAGTTTGCACAGAACCTCACGTCCCTTTTGGATATTCCTTCTACTTCTCTTGCACATCCAACCATAATGTGATTTTTTTTTCTTTAAAATCCCAAAAAAAAACCCCATGGAAAAGCTGCTCTTACCGGGCAAACCTTCACAAACCATTGGCTCCCTTCCCTGTAAACTGCCATGGCAATTCCTTTGGTGGGGATCTCATCCACGAAGAAGCTGACGGCGTCTCCCACTTTCACGGGAACCACCTCTTCTGTGTCCTGTTTTCCCAGCTTCTGCTTCCCATAATCGTTGCCTGATGTGGGGATAAACTGGATTTTGCTGAAGGGCAGGAAGACCCCGCAGTTCCTCTTGCACTTGAAGTACTCGGTGCCATGGTAGGACCCGTCGCTTCTCCCTCTGTTTTCCCCCTCTCCCTGGAAACACACCAGGAAGGGATGTCACACACACAGAGAAATTTCATGGGATAAAACGAGGAATTCTCTGCTTTGGGCCCCCGCCCCTTACCTGCAATTCCACCCCAAAAAACACCGGAGTCAGCACAGCCAAGCTGGGCTTGTAGATGCTCCCGATGTAGCGCACGACTCCCGGGAAAAATTCCCTCTCCACCTCCACCATCACATTTTGACCCGGCACGGCTCGGAGAGCTCCTTCCAGGCTCTGCCTCTCCAGGAAAAAATGCAAGCGCTCGCTGTGGCTCCCGATGGCCAGGAGGAATCCGGCGGCTTCCTGGCGCACGGGCTGCAGGATTTCCAGGTTGATGGTGACCGTGGAGCTGTCGTCCAGCATGACAACCTTCAGGAAGCAAGCTGGAGGCCCATCCTCGGAAAAATTCCGCAGGTAGCTCCTCTCGCTGCAGAAGCACAAGTTCCCAGCTTGGAAGTACTTGTTTCCATAGGCACAGTCCTCCGTCAGGATGTAGAAGCAATTCCTGTCGGCTGCCAGAGGCGGGAGGTTGGACATGGCAGATTCCCCTGGGTTGGGAGAGTCACAGCAATGGGGATTTGTGAGTGATGGCGAAGAATTCCTGAAGAGTCCGGGGGGTTGGAAGAGGTTTTGGACCCAACCCTGCACTCAAAGCCTCGCCCAGGTGAGTTTGAGCCTCTCCCAGAGCTTCCCTGCTCCCTTTTCCCAGGTGTTTAATCACCCTCGTGGTGATTCAAAATTCCATCTAACCCGGTTTCCCACATTCCTGCTCATCCCTGTTCCCTCACTGTGTTTCCATGGGAAAAGTCCAGCTCTGCCTTCTCCACTAAACCCTCCCGGGATGAGATTTCACAAAAAAACCCCCAAAGACATGGAATAATTTGGGTTGGGAGGAACCTTAAAATCATCTCATTCCATGAGCAGGGACACCTTTCCCTACCCCAGGTTGCCCCAAGCTCCATCCAGCCGCACCTGGAATAATACCAGGGATGGAGAGGCTGCTCTACCTGGTCCAACCTGTTCTGACCCTGTCCAGCCTCATTAAATTCCATGTTTTCTTTCCTTACTCACAGGACTAAAGCAAAGGATCAATCCTGCCTTTTAAAATTCCTTGGAAAAGGGATTCCCGCTCCTCTGTGTTGCTACAGCTCATGAATATTCACAGATATTTTGAATATTCATTCTGAACACATGCAAATCACCCCTTGAGGTATCAAAGATCTCCAGCTTTCCTAGCAAATATTTATTTATTATATATTTTATATTAAAAGAAATACAAGTATCTGGAAGCTGGAATATATTTTGGTGCTTATTTTTTAGTTCAATTCTGACAAGTGAAAATTCACGTGGTTAAAATTCCAGTGTGGAATTCCATTTAAATTCCAGTGGTTACATTCTAATATTTAAATTCCAGTAGTAATTAAAATCTAGTCATTGAATTACACTTTTTATCCTCCCTTATCTTCTCCTTTGATTATTCCATGGAAAATCAGGATCCAAAAATTTTTGTTTCAACATGAAGAAAGGGTGAATAAAAAAAATAAAAATAAACCATTTTCCTCACTAAAAGCCCAAAATAAATTGATTTTTCTCATGAAATTCCTAATAATAAACTATTTAATTATCCAAAAACACAAGAATAAATTTTCTCATAAATTAAGCAAGAATATAAATAAAATATAAGAATATAAGAATATAAAATAACCAAGAATAAACTTTCCTTATTGAGCCCATTTTCCTCACGAAAACTCCAGAATAAACCACATAAATAAACCATTTTTCTCATAAAAAGCAAAAAACAAACACATATTTATCACAAAACCCACAAGACTAAACAATTTTCCTCATCAAAAAGCAAGAATAAATAATTTTATTAATCAAACCCCAAGAATAAACCATTTTCCTCATCAAAATCCTCTGACAATAAGTCATTTTCCTCATAAAAACCCACAAACAAACAATTTTCTTCCTTAAAAGCCGAAAATGAACTTTTTTTTCAAGAAAAACGCAAAAATAAACCACTTTCCTCATCAAAAGCTACGAATAAATCATGTTCCTCATTTTCAAAAGAACCAGAACTAATTTCTTTTCCTTATCAAAACGTCGGATTAGACCCTTTTTCTCATTAAAAAACCCAGAGAATAAACAATTTTATTCGCTAAACCCCGAGAATAAATAGCTTTTCTCACAAAAATAAACAAGAATAAACTAATTTCCTCACCAAATCCGCCAAATAAACCATTTTCCTGACGGAAACACAGCAATAAACCCTTTTCCTCATCAAACCCAAGGGCAACACAGGTATTTAAACCAGAATATTCCCAATTTCCTCCGATTTATGGGAATAAATGCCCGTTCCCAGAGCTCCGAGAGGGACTTGGGCTCGACCCCTCCCCCCTCCCCTCACCGTCTCCGCCGCCGCTCCGGCCCCGGCACTTCCGCGTCCGAGCGCGCGCGGCCCGCCAACCAATGGGAAGCGGCAGGGAGAGGAGGACGACCAATAGGAGCGAGGGGGCGTGATCACAAGAGGGGAGGGGGCGTGGCGCCGCAGCAGGCTCCGCCCCCTCCCGGCTGGCCTGGGGGGAAGGCGGGAACTGCGTGAGGGGCTGTGGGCAGGGGTGTGCCCATGGGCCCAAATCCCTGTGGATTTGCCTATTTTTCCACGGTCCCAAAGCCCTGTGGATGCTGGAGTGTGTGTCCCCATGGACCCAAATCCCAATGGACTCGTGTGTATCATAACGGACCTAAATTCTAATGGGTCTAATGGGTTTTTCCATGGGCCCTCTGTGGATTTGTGGTTTTTTTCCACTGTCCCAAAGCCCTATGGATCCCTGAATCTGTGTCCTCATGGACTCAAGTCCCTGTGTATCCGTGGTGTATGTCACCATGGATCAAAATCCCAATGGATTCACATGTGTTTCCATGGACCCAAATCCCAATGGATTTATGTGTATCATAATGGACCCAAATTCTAATGGTTCTTTCCATGGGCCCAAATCCCTGTGGATTTGTGTGTGTTTCCATGGACCCAAATCCCTATGGATCCCTGAATCTGTGTCCTCATGGACTCAAGTCCTTGTGTATCTGTGGTGTGTGTCCCCATGGACCCAAATCCCAATGGATTCACATGTGTCTCCATGGACCCAAATCCCAATGGATTTGTGTGTATCATAATGGACCCAAATTCTAATGGTTCTTTCCATGGGCCCAGATCCCTGTGGATTTGTGTGTGTTTCCATGGGCCCAAATCCCTATGGATCCCTGAATCTGTGTCCTCATGGACTCAAGTCCTTGTGTATCTGTGGTGTGTGGCCCCATGGACCCAAATCCCAGTAGATTCACATGTATTTCCATCAGCTCATGTCCCTATGGATCTGTGTGTGTCGCCATGGACCCAAATTGCTATGGATCTGTGAATTTGTGTCCCCATGGACCTATGGTCTGTGTGTGTGTCCCCATGGACCCAAATCCCAATGGATTCATGTGTGCATCCCCATGGACCCAAATCCTAGTAGATTCACATGTATTTCCATCGCCCCATGTCCCTGTAGATCTCTGTGTGTATCCCCATGCACCAAAATCCCCATGGATCTGTGAATTTGTGTCCCCATGGACCCAAACCCCCATGGATTCATGTGTGTCCTAATGGACCTATATCCCAATGGATTCACATGTGTTTCCATGGACCCATGTCCCTGTGTCCTTACAGATCCATGTGTGTGTCCCCATGGACCCAAATCCCTGTGGATCCACGTATGTGTGTGTGTCCCCATTGCCCCATGTCGCTGTGTCTCTATGGATCCATGTGTGTCCCTGTGTCCTTATGTCCCTATGGATCCATGTGTGCGTTCCCAAGGACCCAAATCCCTATGGACCCATATGTGTCCCCATGGCATGGCCCTATGATCCTACATAGCTGTGTGTCCCCAGGGTCCTCTGACCCCATGGCCTCATGCCCCCATGGCCCTGTGTCCCCACAACCTTGTACCCATTGTCCTGGTGTCCCTCTGCCTTGTGTCCTGTGTCCCTCTGCCTTGGGTCCTTCCTGGGTGGCCCTGCCTGCCACAACACACCCCCAAGTGTCCCCATTGCTGCTGGGACAAGGGTGACACACTGGATCTGGGACTACCAATCCGCCTCCCCCACCCTGGGGACCTTGAGGTGGCAGCAGAGCTGGAAGGGGACACCAGGTCACAGCAGCAGGGTATAAATATTGGCTAAATAGATTTATTTTCATACAAAGAATACACAGGTCCCCCCTGCTGGGACACCCCAACTCCAGGGGACACCCCAAGATGTCCCCAGCCACCATCAGGCTGGCCACTACCTCAGCTGGCTTTACTGTCAGGATCTGTCCCCACTCCCAGAGTTTGGTGACAACTCTGGGTCACCTTGGGGACATCCCTGTCCCCTCTGGGGCCACCTTGCTGCCTGTATTTATTTACCAGGTGCCTACTCAGGGCACCCTGTCACAGGCCACTCTGCTTTGCTGGACAGCCCCAGACTTGGTCCCCTGCTCCCTTGGTCCCATGCTGGGACATCTCTGGACATTTTGGGGTCCCCTTTGTGCCCTAATACTGTGGCTGGTACAGACACTCCCTCCCCCCACGCCATATGTACACGCTGGATAAAAGAAGAAAATACAGGTATTTATAGCAGGGGAGCAAAATACTCCCCTAACCCCCCCAAAAGTGTCCCCTGTGTCCCCATCCTGGTGCCTCACCACCAGCCAGTCCTGACACCTGTGCCCACGATGGAGGTGACTGGTCCTGCCCCATCCTGGGCCAGCTGGGCCCCTGTGCCTCAGTTTCCCCATCGGTCATGGGGCTGCCATGGGATGGTGGGACATTGAGAACATTGGGTGAGGAAGAGCCACTGCGGCCACCTCGTGGGGACAAGGACGTGGCCATGAGCCCCAGGGAATGTGGGATGAAGCTGGAGGCACCTGGGATTGAAGCCAGAGCATCCCACCTCCCGCCTCACCCCCGTCACAGGCACAGCTACCCAAGGCCCCCTTTCATCCCCGAATTTGTCACGCTGCTGTCACCCAGCCCTGGGTGTGGTGGGAGGTCCGGATGTGGCCACCCCACCTCCCTTTGTGGCAGGAGAGGAGGTGGCTGGGGGAGCTCCTCAGCTCTGAGTCCCTCCAGCTCAGCTGCGTTTGGTGACCATCTGCCGGTCCCTCTTCTTCTTCTCCATCAACCTGGTGGGGAGCAGGGTGGTGGCCTTAGAGACCCTCCCCAAGAGGGACCTCCTGAAACCACAGGGAGGGGACAACTCACTTGCGGTTGCGGACTTCAGTGAGCTCCATGAGCCGCTCCTGGGCCGCCCGGAGCTCGTCCAGGCGCTGCTGGTAGCGGGAATCGCAGCCGTTGGTGCGCTCGTAGCTGGAGACCTGGCTGGAGAGCTCGCTGGCACGGTCCCGGAGCTGCTGGATGGACGAGTAGAGGTTCTCCTCATCTTCCTCCTGCTCCAAAACAAGCGTGTGAGGATGGTGTGGTGGGCAGGATGCACCAAAGATTTGGTTCCCCTTGTTCCAGGTTTCCCAAGCC